AAGTATGTGACACTGGAAGAGTCCCTGCCAAGCAAGCACAAGGCACTGAGCTCAATCCCTGACAGAGTGTGTTTGTGAGTGTGACTACACCCTGTATATTTGATGTTACATATGTAAGATACATATATGATATAAATTGACTTTTAAAAAAAAATCTAAGAAACAATTCATAGAGATGCAAAGCAGACGAGATCATTAGCATAGCAGGCCCTATGTACAAATACTGAAGTTCCAGAAAGATTATCAAAGAACTAGTTCAGCATTTCTTCCAGAACTAGAATAAGAAAGGCACAAGGAGAGTCAGCAAGCAAAAAGACCTACGCCAAGGAGCCTGCTTAGAAACTGTCTAAATGCTAGGGAAAAAGAAGTGAGCTCAGAGATGGGGAAGTGTTAATCACAGAAGCTCAGGAAAGGCAAAGCTACCAAACTTCTCAACCGCTCTCCTTAATGGGAAGCAAAATTGAGCTGGCTTTTCAAAGTCCTGAGAGAAGTCAGGTGACCCTAGAATTTTATACCTAGCCATAGTGACAGTCAGGTTTGAGTGGAGAAATCAAAGCCACTTTCATATATGAAAAGCCTCTCACTGGGGCTGTAGCTCAGTGGTAGACCACTTGCTCTACCTCTGTATGCATGAGGCCGTAGGTTCAAGCCGCAGTACTACTGAAAAGTCTCTCCCATACAGTGTGCCTCCTATGGAGCATTTCTCTGGCAACTACTAAAGGAAAATTGATTAAACCTTCATTTTGTGTGGGAAACTTTCCTTTAATGATGGTTTAGCCAAGAAAGAAGATATGTAATCCAAATACCAGGATCCATCCTCTGAGAAACAGAGGGAATTCCCTAATAATGATAAGGAAAATAACCAGGCCAGTCTGAGAAGCAGAAAACAAACTAGACAGCCTCAGTGACTGGAGGGCTTGGGGAAAGGGACAAGAGAGACTGCATAGTCACAAAATGTGCATAATGGGTCAAATGGAGACCCACAGCTTCAGAGCAGGGTTTTTCTGTGTAGCCTTGGCTGCCCTGGAACTCACTCTATAGATTAGACTGGCCTCGAACTCGGAGATCCACCAGCCTCTGCCTCCTGGATGCTGGGATTAAAGGCCAGTACCACCACTGCCCAACCTGTTTTATTCTTATTAGACCTAAAGTCTCCACTAATAAGTCATTTGGTCTGGCCTTCCCAGATACAAAAAATCTCCCCGTGCGTTTCAAAGCTGAGCTGAGCCCACCATTGCAATGGCTGGACTCTAAAACTTGCCCCGCACAGAACTGTGATTTGAGTGCTTGCTCCCCAGCTGGTGGTACCTTTTGAAAGGCCATGGAACCTTTAGAAGGTAGAGCCCTGCTGCTGCTGGAAGCTTCTGAAGGTTCTAGCGTGGGCCCGGGTTCTGGCCTTGCTCTCTAACTCCTGGTCCAGCACACACAACCAGAATTCAGTTCTGCATTCCACACAATGATGGACCAAAACCACGACACAAAGAAAACCTTTCTTCTCCTAAGTTATCTCCAGCAGATGCTATGGTCATAGCAACGGAGAGCAGGTAGTCTCTGACTAACAAGGCAAATCTGGATCTAGGGACGGATCTCAGATGCTTAGCTGAATTTGCCATAACATAGATACACAAACCCATAGCATGCCTTCACATGAGAACATGTGCTAGAGGCACCAGAAGGACATGAAGAACAGGAGGCTCTGCCTCCTTTACCACAAACATGCTAATCTGCCAGAGTTTCATGGGCTAGGGTCAAAAACAAGTTGCTGCTCACAGCAACAGAGACAGCCAGAGTGTTGTCCACATGGGAAAGGGCTGCATGACAACCTCTCTGTGGTTTGCCTGTTAGAAAAAGAGCTCCACGCCTGGGGAACCCAAATCATTTTTCATTACTTTTATTATGAAAATATATTATGTATATACATATACATAAAATTCACCTTCTTAGTCAATCTTAAGTGTGTGAGTCAATGGCATTAAATTGTTATGGTGGGCAGTAAACCATCCTGAGCTTTGAACCACAGGAGGCATTACCTTTTTATTATTATTGTTATTATTATTGTTGTTGTTGTTATTATTACTATTATTACTATTATTATTATTATTAGAAGAAGAAGAAGACAAAGAAGGAGGATGAGGAGGAGAAGGAGAAGAAGACAATAAACAGACCTAGCCTCTTATCACTGTTGGCATTCTGGGCCACATAATCTTTGTTAAATGGGTTCTTATGTACATCACAGATAATTAATGGGACTTTTGACCACTACTCACTAGAATCCAATAAAACTCACTAATTTTTGACAAGAAAATGTCCCCACAAATAGCCAAATACCCCTCTAGAGACAAAACTGCCTCTATTGAGGATGATCATCCTAGAAAAAGTCACTACCTTTGCTCTCCAAGGCCATTCTCTACACAAACATCTTTGAAAAGACATTCATGGCCAGTGAGCTGACTCAGTGGGTAAAGGTGCTTGCTGCCAAGCCTAAAGACCTTAATCACTGGGGTGAAAACAGTACACACACACACACACACACACACACACACACACACACACACACACACACGTATATGTATACACATATGTAGGTATGTATATGTACATATAAATATATGTTTACATATGTATATGTGTGTGTATACATGGAAAGTGAGGATAGTAAGGAAGGCCTGTCTGCCAGGCTGTCACCACAGTTATTTAAGATAAGAGCCATGCAGTTCCTGGCCCTCAGCATGCCCCTGATATAAACTAGCTGCCACTTAATACAGACCACGTAGGGATGTCTTCTTCAAGACCGTTTTCACTGTTACGGAGCTAAGGGATCTCTCCACACCCTCGTCTGGCTTCACAGAATAGTCAGATCATGGCTACTTAGGACACAAAAGTGGCTCCAAGACCAGCCCCAGCACCTGGTGCCCAGGACGGCTCCTGGCACTGTGTGGAACAGAGTGGAAGGGAGCGGGGCGGAGCCTCCACCCCTGCTTTCCTCCCTCCCCATCACTGCTGCTGTCCTGGCCCAGCACCTGCTGCTTACCTGCCCCTGCTCGGCTGCATTTTATTCAGCGATCTTCATACATCCAATAAGAAATCAAGCACTGTAGATGCAAGGCTGATCCAGTGACATCAGAGACCTGTTCTCCCTCCCAACGCCCCTCCCTCTGAATCAGAAAACACCTGAGCAAACAGATGCCCCTCGAAACTGCACAGGTTGCCTAAGAAGTGATTAGTGGAGAGACATTTCCTTTACTGGTGATGCTATGGTATTCTCTTGGTGTTTTGACTTTAGAATATAAATTACTCTTGGCTTCTACAACTAATAAGTTTTGTATATACATGATTACTCTTCTCTGTCTGAAACCATAATATTTAATTATGGTTTCACAGTAGAGCTAAAATTCTGTTTTCTCCCAGGGAAAAACTAAGTATAACTGGGGTTTATGAAAAATTATTAGTGAGAACAAATCCTAGAAAATAAATTGGATTTTTGAAATCTGTGAATTTTAGCACATCAGGCTTTTCCTCAGGAAGACTGTGTACAGAAAGTATGGTGGAATAATCAAGCGTCAGGCTCACTGCTGCCCTGGTAAGACGAGCATGGGTGGGAAGATCACTCGTGGATCTGCCCTATTGTGAAATTTGCTTTCAGAAAAGGAAATAGCACATAATAGTCACAGGACACATGGCAATTCCTAGTCATCTCTCCCTTCCTCCAGAATCTGGCACTAAACTCCAACCCTCCAGAGAGAACTGCGATGACTGCAATAAAAAGTGTAATAGAGAGTCTTTTCAAGTATTTTGTTTTAAAGTTCTCCAAACTATTTCAATGTGGAGCCAAGCTTGGAAGTATCAGAATAATATATAATCTGTTCACTGGATGGTACCAGGGTCAATGGTTTGGTTAAGCAGGCATCTACCTTATTTATAATCTCCTTTAGAATGCAAGTGGATTCTTGTGTGTAAATTCATTCTGGTGCACACAGTGGGGGGCTTCAAAAGTACATTGTTTCATTAATATGAACTCTCTAAAACCTTTCAGTGTAAATATTAAGAAAGTGAAGGGAAGAAAAATATCCTATAATTCCTATAATGCTACTCATATTTAATAAAGAATTACTGTAAACAAAAAAATAGCGATGAGGTCTAGGGTGATGGCTCAGTGAGTAAAGACCCGCTATCGAGCATGAGGAACTGAGCTCATGCCCAGAAGCCACATGAAAAGCCAGGCGTGGCACACATCTTCAACCAGTGTTGAGAAGGCAGAGACAGGCGGCTCCCGAGGACTGGCTAGCCGGCTAGTTCAGCCAAAGCAGTGAGCTCCAGATTCAGTGAGAAACCCCATCTCAGAAACAAGATATAGAAAAACGAGGAAGATGCTTGCTGCCTGCCTCTAACCTACACACGCTCCCGTGTAAGCAGACAGACACTTGCGTATGTGCGCACACACATGAACACGTGGGTAACTGGCTTACTTCTTGCATTTAGCCAGAATTAACATGACTTAATTTCGTCTGTTAGCACACCTTCCTGAAACACAAATAAGTACATTGTTCCCCCGGCCTACAAAAAGAAATTACTACACACAGAGAAAACATTTGAGCTGTATTTATATGAGCAATTAAAAAAAAAAAAAAAAAACTAACCACAGAAATTTCAAAGCCCCTGAAGGAGAGAATATCATGGCATTTTAAAACCACTTCTTTTTCTCAACAGAAAATGACTTTTTTCCTAGATTAACATTCCCAGCTAAGGCTCCTTTTTTAAATCAGACTTTCTCTGCAAGCTTTTGGCTCACATCGAGCTCCCTCTTGTCTTACCTGCTTATTAAGAACACACCATTTCCACATTAAAGACAGACAGGTGAATGTTCTCTGGAGGGGTTCTGGGAAGAACTGGGGGTACCGTGTTATACTCCAAAGATCATTTGAACCCTTAGCACCTGCGTGTGTGAGGGGAACCATGGCTATGATCCTGTTTCCACAAATGTTTCAAGGTGTGAGGATTACCTGGTCAACTGGAACCTCAACCTGCGTGTCTTCATCTTCTTGGACTTCTGCTGCCCCCCTGGTTTCAGATCTCTCTGCTCCAGCTTTAAAAATGCCTTCATCTGTGGAGCCAAACACGGGTGGAAAAAAAAATCAAAATCCAATCGTGACATCATGTGGCTGAAAGCTGACATTACAGTGAAATGTTGGAAGAGATTTCAGTTCATGTATATATATAGGAACTGAATATATATATACTTCACAGCGAGGATTTTAATGCCCTGGCCCCCAGGTCTTCTATTTTAACTGAGAAGAGGTCTCGCGGCCACAATAAGGCTGTCTTGGGGGAACAGAGCTCTCACGATGTTGCTGCTCACACATTGTTACTGACTGGGTGGCACTAGTGGCCAGAGATGGAAAAGACTCCTGGCCAGACTCCAGGCCCCCTCCTAGCCGGCAATCAGCAACAATGCTCCCTGCTTTACAAAACATTTAAAATTTCCATTTCCCCAGAGAATGCTATGCATTCAATATAATGCAGGCAAACAATTCTCTCTATTCGGAGTAGTGAAACTTGATTTAACTGCAACAGGCTCAAAGAATGGACTTCCCGAAACCCTCCAGAAAATCAGCAGGCTTTTAGTTTTGCACATTTCTACAGGATTTTCACAACCTGTGGCTTTAAGCTCTTGACAACAGAGGAGACCTAAGCCCCTGGGGATTTCGGCTAAGCTCCTTCCACTTGCTTCCTTCCGCAAAGCAGCAGTTTCCATTTTCCATATTTGAAAGCCTTTTAATGTCTCCCCTCAGCCTTCCCTTCTCCAGGCCAAATAATCAAATCCCAGAGCCATCTGTCATTCTGTCTGTCTATTTGCTTCCAGACAGATTTAGTGCTGCAGCCACCCTCACAGATGTCTGCCCTGTCTAAATTTTTAAGGCTCTCCAGGGATGGAAACTTTACCTCCTTTACTGGTATTCTACTCCAGGGTTTGATTACCCCTACAATCTAGAACTGCTTCTCTTTTGTCTTCAGGTCACCTCTATTTCTGTAACAGAGGCATGTTTGCTAGAAAAATTACTTAATACATGCCACACAACATGACACATTACTAAAGCTCCAAGGTCAACCTGAGCTGCATGCAAAATGCATGTTTACATTTATTGAGGAACAGTCACACTTAAGGCACCAACACAACGGTCTAAGGTATGAATGAGATGCAGCACCCAGGCTGGGACACAGGTCAGTGGCAGAGCACGCACAGATGTCATCTGCTCCCTGCGACTGCTTACGGCCCAACAAAGCAGAGAGAACCTGACCTCCACACGGTGCTCAGAGGTCAGGGATCTCCTAGGCAAGCTACAGCAGAGTAGGGAAAGTGGAGACGACAGAGCCAGGGAAAGGCACCAGGGAGGAAGTGGAAGGGTGGAAACTCGGGCATGACTCGAGTTCCTTTTCTCAATTACAGATCAGTGAGATGACAGACAGACACAGTAGACTGTGGCTATGACGTACTCCAAATCCTGGGCTTCCTTACAAAGAGACGACACAGGGAATGCTCTGTGATTCATTGATAACAGCAGGATGTGTTCCCAGAACTAACAGTCATTGTCAATGTCTATGAATTGTCAGAGCTATGAATTGTCAACAGATGTATTTTAGAAAAGGTGTCCCGCCAGATAGAAAAAGCACATCCGGTACTAACAAGTGAGGCTGGGGATGTAGCTCAGTTGGTGGAGTGCTGGCCTATTGCATGTAAGTTGTGAGCTCCGCCCCCAACAATGCATAAACTTGTCAAAGCAATATGCCCCTGTAATCCCAGCACTCAGAAGGTGGAGGCAGATAGATCAGAAGTTCAAGGTCATCTTTGGCTACATTATGAATTTGAGGTCAGCCTGGGACATACGTGATACTGTCTCAACAACGATAATGTCAAATTGAAATGATCCTTGGATAGCAAGTGTCAATCTTAAGAACAGACATCAGAATGACAAGTCATCAAGATCCACCTTAAGACAAGAGAGACACACAGAGGGTACAACCATGAAAGTGTTAGCCTGGGTGAGGCTGAGAGCTCATTCCTCAGTGAGTGGAGATGCTGAAGCTGTTCCCTCCAGCATTGGGGAAGAGGACTGGAGTGGAGTGAAAGATTCACCATAGTCAAAAGAAACCGAAGCTAGAAGGAAAGAAGAAAACCCACTGGGATGCCAATTCATTCTCACTATAATGTTACTAAGATTAAAGGTGGTGATGCTCTTCATTCTTAGAGAAAGCACCTTTCAAAAGTAGTCTCGTTATTCGTTTTGATATAACATGTTTGCAGTTTAGAAAAGTTAGATGATGAAGGAATAAACACCCTTCCTGTATCTCATGGCCCACAGACAGCAGTCACCAACGTTTTCCCAGCCCCCCTCCTCCTGTTACTCCTCCTGTCATTCCTCCTCCCTCTCTCTCTCCCTCAAACAAATAAAACTTGAGATTTACAGGTCACTATTTACTTTAAAATTATATCATGAGCATTTATCAAGCCATTACATATTACCTGAAAATATTAAAATATGATGTTGCTGTGCCATAACTAACAGACACTACTGAGTAATAAAGATTGGCTTTTTGAATGGATGGGGCACATTGTAAGAAGTTGATTGTTGTGTAACTGCATTCAATTAGTGAAGAACTGCCACTCTGGAAGCAGGAAGAGGGTCCTGGAGACTCAGCCCTGGGGGAGGGAGATCCCAGAGGCAAGTGCCACCTCCCTCTGTGTACAGAGCAGAAGCACATAACTGTCTTCCGAATCCTTGTTTCCATGCCTAGAGTGCTGTATATAGCAAGTTTACAATGAACATTTATTGGAAATAAGGTGGAAACAAGCCCCAGGTTTACTCTCTCTCTCTCTTACACATCATTTCCCTTCCTCCTTCTGCGGCCTCCTCATGTTTAGTTGCTCCAGACACCTTGTGGGTGTTTAGTTCTTCCTTTCCATACAAGCCTCTGTGCACACTGACTTCCTGGTTTGAACACAATTATGTCATCTACCTGCTCAGTAGCTCAATGGATGCCTCTCCTGCCTCTTGCTTAAGGAAATCTCACCTTCCTATCTCCTTCCCCTCCCACCTTTTACCATCCGAGCAATGATGCCCACAGGAGCACCCCATCTCCCAGCCCACACATTCTGCATCTCTCCTACTTCCTACTCCACTGACAGAACCACATCTTCATCTCCCATCCTAAGCAATGCACGCTAGTAATGCATGCCTTGTGTTGTTTCATAGCCCATGCCTACATCTCTCTCTCTTGTCCTTGAAGAAGTCCTGGTGGAGTCTAAGTCTCAGTTCAAATTGCAATCGATATTAATACTCTATAAAGATCACCTGCAGTCTCACGCCGGACCACACAGCCAAACAAAACCAGTCATTCCTCTCAGCACTCATTATCTCACTGTCTTTGTTTATTCATAGATTACTGTTTCACTTGTCAATTTCTATGACTTACTCTGTCTTGCTCCTTGCTGTTCTACAAGTCCTTCAGGTGTAGACCACAGCTTTGGTCTTTGCAAGTCCTGTGTATGGCACAATGGCTGCCTCCGAACAGGTTTTGAGAAAATGTTTGTAAAGCTGAACTGACAGTACCAAGTACTATGTAAACATCAAACTCTTGCCATTATCTATAAATGTTATCTATAACAGAATTTCAATGTACATGTGCCTGTCGCCAAGATCAGGAGTCCATGTGGTGTCCAAAAGTACACTCATCAAACTATGTGTGTGTGTGTGTGTGTGTGTGTGTGTGTGTGTGTGTGTGTGTGTGTTCTATGTAATTTTAAGTAGAGAATAATATAATGCTTTGTGACTTTTTTAGATATCTTTACCAATAGTTTAACCACCACCACCACCACCACCCCCGCCTTTCTCCTGTATTTATCTCCCTACCTCTTCCCAATTAAAGTTCCCCTCACCCTGTTTCTTCCTTCAAGTCACTGGTACACTTTTATTCTCCTCATAGTTTAAAGAATTCTGCTCATCTGGGCTGACAATGTTCCCCCAAGAGCCACAAACTATCTAACAAAAACCCTAATACCAGGGGATGAGAATCCTCTTTGAAATTGCTGGTCAAAGTCTTGAGGACTGGAGTTCATAGTACTAGAAGGTGCCATGCTAGCCTCCAAAAGAGGGAAGCTACATTTGGAGACACCAATGTAATGCAGGTAAAGACACATGTCATAAACGGGGATGTCAAACTGTCTGCTTTTCTAGCTTTAACTCTGTCGTGTATTTGTCTTGTGTTGTGGGAGGGGAGTCGATAAGTATATAACAATATAAATGACAGTCAAAGTGTATGATCCAAAGGGAAAATCCATGGCTTCAGAATGGCTGTTCTGTCTATACAGAAGTTCATTGACATGTGTAGACTTTGAGATTGGCTAATCTCACTGATTTTTTTTACAAGTTCTCCAAAATAAAGTTTTGATTAAAAGAATAAAACAAAAACTATTTAATTGGGGCTGAATACATGGCTAGGTCTACACAAACATGGGAATCTGAAATCAAATTCCAGCGCCCATGTTAAAAAGAGGAGGAGGAGGAGGAGGAGGAGGAGGAGGAGGAGGAGGAGGAGGAGGAGGAGAGCAGCAACAGGCAGGTATAGCATTCACAAGAAGATCCCCGGGTCTTACTGCTCAGCCAGTTAGCCAAATCAGAGAGCTCCAGGTTCAGTGAGAGACCCTGTCTCAAAAGACAAGGTAGACAATGATTGAGGAAGACACCAGAGGTCAGTCTCTGGCCTGTGCGCGCGCGCGCGCACGCGCACGCGCGTGCGCACACACACACACACACACACACACACAATCTAATTCATCCCAAAGTCTAGAAACCCTCCAACATCTTTCCGTCATACCTTAGAACACAAGTTCTTCGCATGATGTAAAGAACTGGGATTAGGCAGCACACTTCTTCCCTTTCCTGTACAACTGCGTCACTGACCTTCTCTCTGTTCCCAACAGAAACCCACTTGTATCATGTGACTTTTTACTTCCCACACCCTCTGCCCTTTTCACACGATTCACTACTCCTTGGCTTTCAGTTCTCAGAAAAGTATTCTTCACTCCGGTGCCAGCAGCCACCACTC